AAAGTTATGGACACAGTGGTTTTAAACTATGATATCTTTATCACATTCATCAGGTGCCAATATCAGATGATCTGATAGCAGAGTAGCAGTAACATGGTGCACCATTAAGATGGACACTTCTGATTTAGAGTACAGTGGTGGCACATTTCAAGAAATGCAACACCAGCAGCACTTCTTTGATATCTTGCCAGTTGTCATTCAATAGGTCCAGTGTTCCAGCTGCTGTACGTTTCGTGTAGGTCCTATTAGATAATACTGCTGCAAATACATTTTTTGTACATTAATTTTAGGCTTTAGTGAGATGTTGCTAGTGTGTATAGCACATGTGACAAAGTGACCAGTGATCCAAATAATGTTTTAATGGATGCAAGTTATATTATCATTATTCTTGTGTAATAGTAAATGATGTAAGTTACAAAAAATTAAGTAAGAAAAGAAAAAGAATTATAATCTGTCCATATTAAAAAATAGGAATGTATGTTTTCAAAGCAAAAGAACAGATTTAACACAGTGGTAGTTCCAATGTTTTGTAATATTTAATGTACTCATACAAGTCAAGACAACTGTAAAGCAGATGGAAATTTGGGACAACTTGATGATATTAATGAAAGTAAAATGTTTGAATATTTTGTTAAAATAATAATGGAAGTATTAGAAATAAACAAGCAGAATGTATGTGAAATTAGACAGTAGACTTTTGTTCAAATAAAGCTGATGAATTTATAAGTAAATACTGTTATAACTTTCTAAATACAGATCAGTTAGATGAAACACTACATAAAAATAACGTAACTGTTAATTCTATGTATCTAATACCAACCAATGAATATGAAATTAAAACAATTATAAATTCTACGAAATGGAAAAGAATATTACAGCTGAAATTATCAAAAATAATAATGAACAAATGATGCTAGTAATAATGTATTTGATTAATATGTAATGGAAAAATGAGTTTTGCCAAACATTTTAAAAGATACTGTCATTATGCCAAAATTTAAATAAGGCAATAAAAATGATTTGAATTTATTACAGACCTACTGCTCTATTATCAGTCATATCAATAATATTCAAGAAGATTGTTAAGGAAAGAATAATCACATTTTTAGATGTTTTTTCACAAATTGTCAGCTTGAATACTGTAAAAAATATGTGCCCTAATTACAGTGATTAATAGATTAAATCAAATGATTAATAATGATAAAATAACATATTTTTCTAGATATAATAAAAGCTTCTGACACAATTTCACAAGAACTTTTATTCCAAAAAACTTTATAAAATTGGAATAAGAGGTACTGTTTTCAATTAGTTTAACTTGTATGTACTAAATAGAAAACAAGTAGTTAAATAATAAGTGATGAAATGAACTTAAATGCTAGAATGCTCCACGGATCAGTTTTGGGTACATTACTATTTTTTATTTAAATGATTTCCATGAAATTAGGTTTTATAGGGATATAAGTTTTGCAGATGACTTAGTACTAATATATAATGGAAAGTCTGATATAATGAGTTAAAATGCATAAGAAGATATGATTATTCATTATGTTTAAACATAAAGAAAACAGTATAAAATATTTTCTATGTATTAATACAATCAAATAATTCAAAGCAAGCCAGTAATTTATGAGAACTGTATCTGTAAATACGTATCTATTAAGAATAATATAAATATTAAATCAATTCTACAAAAATCAGAAAGTATTATGTATATTGGAGTAATATTAGACTATAGATTAAATTGGAACGAACATATTAATAGAAAAAAATTAATGATATCAGCAGTAGGGTTTTAATATTTAAAACATTATTTATCTGAGAATGAAGTGAACATTATTTATCATGGTTGGTTTGATTCAATGCTACAACATGGTATCATCCATTGGGGAGGTATCTATCTAACAAATTTAAAAATTTTAATACAGTTGCAAAAAATATTATTGGATGTGTACTATCATTATTACAGTATGATCATAATAAATTACATTTTCAAAATTTAAGTACACTATCACTGCATAAACTATATATTTACAAAACAATAAACTGATTCACTAAAACTTTAAACTTCCTAAAGTAAACAAGGAAATCTTTATAAAAAAGTTATTTATATCAAGCAGCAAACTTTTATGATATTCCAAATCCCATAAGATCTCAAAACCCTTCTCCTTCAACAAAACCGATAGATATATCCTTTGCATTGTATTGAAAGATGTGATGTTTGTTTGGATTTTTCTCTTGTACTAGTACCTGCTTGCAAAGTAACAGATGGATGCTTAAGTTTCAAGTGATTAAGTATCACACCCGTTAATTTGTAATAAGCAATACTGTTACTGCAGAGGCTGCACCGTATAATGTTCTCGTTCATTTTCTCAAAGTATTTCCACGCTTTACTCTTAGATACCATCTTGCTATTTGCTATATACGGTACTTAGCCAATAGCAGATCTAGGAAATGAAAAGTGTCTGCCTCCCTTTCAATCATCATGCTGGTAATTATTTTTGGTTTCGTTTTCACTCATTCCTCACTTTAAATTACTTTTTTAAAAATTAGCAAATACTTGAATATTTGTTCAAATAATAATTATATTTCAATTATTCAGTCTTACCCCTAGTTTTCATCAGTGACATAGATGAAAGAATGGTCAATCAATTACTTAAATTTGCTGATGATATTTAAGTCTTGGGTGTTGCTGGCTGCGAGGAGGATACTGCTGCTTTACGAAAGAATTTAAATTATTTGGCAACTAATTGGGCAAGTAAATGGCAGATGGCTTTCAATAATAAAAAATGTGAGGAAATGCATATGGGCTATCATAATTGGAATTAAGTATACTTTTGATGGGAATAAATTTAAGTGTTATGGCAAAAAAAGGATTTTGGTTTTCTGATTGATTAGTCTTTTAAGCCATCCAAGCAATGTGCTGTTGCCACTAGTAGGGCAAATAGGATTTTATGTTGTATACACAGAAATATTGAATACAAGTCTAAAGAGATTATAATTTAATTGTGTAGGTCATTGGTTAAGCCACGTTTAAAGTATTATGTTCAGTCTTCGGTTCCTTACTTTTAGGAAGATCAATAGATTGTTAGAACAGGCTCAGAGAAGGGTCAATAAAATTATATCTGGAAAAGTTGTCATATGAGGGTAGGTTAAGATCTCCAATATTTTCTTTTTTTTAAAAAAAAAAAGACTAATTAGAGGGATCTGACTGAGGTGTTTAAAATTTTTAAGAAAATTGATAGTGTTGATGCAACATATATTTTCTTACTTAATGGTGAGAATGATAGGACTAAGAGACACAAGTATAAATTTTGGCAGGGTAGGAGTCATCTTCAGCTAAGACAATTTTATTTTCATAACATGTTAGTTGGCCTTCAAAATGGGTTGCCTTCAGATGTGATGGAAGCAGTAAATTTAGGAGAGCTTGATAAATATTTGAATAATAAGGGCTGGCTTTGAGTTTATATATATGTAGTTTAGTGGAACAGACAGCCAAGGTGGATCAACAGGTCCCTTGTTGTCCTTAAATGTTATAATCAAAATGATTATCTCCAAATTTATTATATATTTTCTGTTATATAAAAAAACCTCTTCATATTAGCACATATTTGACCACATGAGGCTGTGAATTAACAGTGGATGACACACTTCACAAGTCAGTCAATTACTTCAGTTTTTCCATACACTAATCAGAGAAAATTATTTCCAAATCTATGACTCTCTTAAGGTAGCCAAATGCCTCGTCATCTAATTAGTGACTCACATGAAAGGATTAACGAGATTCCCACTGTCCCTATCTATTATCTAGCGAAACCACAGCCAAAGGAATGGGCTTGGAGAAATCAGCAGGAAAAGTTCCACACCAGCATATATTTGCCTGAGTTAGGCAGTTAATTAATAGTTGCACAGCCTTCAAGATAGAACTAAAAGGTACAATTTTAAAATACAATTCAAACAACATAACCAGATTGCAACTTGTTGGTAATTACATTTGAAAATTTTGTGTATCATTGTGTCAAACCAATGTATAACAGGATGTACTGCATGTGTAGATTTAGTTCAAAAAGTGAATTAGAAGTTATGATGTTTAGGATGCAAAACCACTTGTAATATAGATTCTTATACTATTCCAGAAGAAACTATGTTTTATATTTGACACAAAGTCTTCATATTCACTTGTTTGCTGACACAGCATAATTTCAGACAAATGTAGTTCCCACATGTGATTGTTTTATGTTCCTTTAACATTCAAGGTGGTAGCAACCTTGGAATTTCCCTTGGTGATATTTAACACCCATGAAGAACTTGGATCACACTGATATAAAGTACTTTGAAATTGCATTTGACAGGAATATCACCACAGATTGCTGATTAGGAGGGGAGTTTCTGGAAGTGACACTTGGAGTCATATTTTGATTTAGCTGATATAATCCTGTCTGTGATTTTGGTAATTAATTCATCTATGCAGGTTGCCAGAGAAAGGCAAAACACATCCTATACAAATCTGCAGAAAATGGCCAAATGATTTAAGAATAATTATTTGTGATTAGTAAAATGTAAAACTGGAGTAATATGTCATGTGAAATGTGTCATTCAATGTTAAATAACTGCCTCATCAGAGCAGATATATGCTGATCTGGAAAGATTATTGTTTCCGATATTACAGGAAAACTATAATAAGTCTGGAAATGATTTTTTCTAATTAGTATACTTATAGGGAAGAGTAGGAGTAAGTACACGATATGCAGCACTTAGTGCCATTCATGTGTCCTGTCCAAGCCAAAATGTGCTAATCAAAATTTATCCATTACCAAAAATGTATACCATATATTCTGATGTAATATAAGTTAAACTGTTGAATGACAAACATCAAAATTCTAGTAATTGAAAGACCATGAGGCAGGTATGCCTGTTCTTATATGTTTATAAATTTGTTATAAGTTATAATATTAACAAATAATAGCAGACTAGAATTATAATATAAATTATTTACATACCTCATGTCTGGCATCTGGACTATAAAATACAAGGATTAATGAGGTGAATATGTTGATAACTAGTCCAGCAATTGTCATTAGATTAGGGGCTAGCCATAGAGGAAATTTTTTAACCAGCCAGTTCCAAAAAGGCTGCATAAAAGGATCCAAAAACGAAGAGCCGGAAGCACTGTACTTGTGCTCTTTCAGCTTTTTTAATTGAGCAGGTGACAAAATATCTGCCGAACTGAAAATCATTGTCACCAATATACTTCAACCTACGACAAACCAGAATTTAACAACTTCCCCAAACTACCACACAGCTTTCAGCTGACAGATTGTGTAGCTGTAATTGGATTTCTACGCAAGCGTAAGAAGCTTTTCTGTCGCTAGGTGTGAGTAAACGAAAGTATGTTAATTTTGACCTAATTTTAAACCATAGAGGTAAGAAGAAATTGTTACCTTTTTTGCACTCTAAGATATAAACAGTATATTATTCAACATGCAGTAATCAGAAGAAAGCATTTTCTAAAAGCTTATAATAATATTATGTATTCGACCTAAGTGAACAGCACTTAATTAACTTAAAAATATTTTAGAAATCTTGAAATTAAGGATAGGTTTCGTTTCGTAATAAATTTTATATACGTTTGGTAAACTAATATATTGTTACGTCTCCGTTTGTTAATTAACTTTCCGTAACTTCGTACCGACGAAACTTAAGCGACACAAGTCTTTACTTAATAAAACTGGTTTATTCTTTCCGAATATAACTTTACCGATACACTGAACTCAACAATCGCGCTAAACAAACGAACGTCAATAATACTTCTGACCGCAGTTCAATCACTCCCTATCTATCTCTGACTGCACACATTACCTTCCCCGCTTTTATATATCCGCCTACCCTATATCTAGTAAGAACTTGAACATT